GTATGTATGTTTATATCTATCTATTTATCTGTCTTCTGTTCATAGATATTTATCTATTCATATCTTGCTTATCTATCTATCTATCTATCTATCTATCTATCTATCTATCTATCTATCTATCTATCTATCTATCTATCTATTTGAACACCCTAAAGTCAGTGAGACATTAAATACAATTGAGCATTATTGTCATCCTTCAGAAATATGAATTTTAGGTACGAAGTTGATATTACCCAATTAGAAAATCCTGGTACTTACGCTAATTTGAACCATACAGTCCGAATTCATTTTAGTTGTACTTTATCGATACTATTCCAGGCTTTCATATGAGACCAAGCAGTGGGCAGATATATTCGACGGGCTTTCGGTACCACCACTCGGGTTGTGTCACTGGTTAATTCTGCGTTTTGAAACACGTCACACGAAGGCAGTCAAGTCCGAAGTAAAAACCAAGAAATTAGGAATTAAAACATCTCAAAATTGAAAAATAATCGGTGTTAAGTGCCGTAAAAGGAAACAGGAAGTCGTGGACATTTAGTGAATTCTTCAGCAGAGGAAGTTAACGAAATAACGAGCTACCTCGGGGTATTTCATCGGGGTATCTCGTTATAATAGGACACGTGTTATCTATTAAGTTTTAAGTGTTTCAGCAAATGTTTAATATTATACAAAAAGTGCAGCAGCGAGTGGTTTTGCTGTTCAAACTGTATACGTCACTATGTTCATATCTATCTATCTATGTTTTTCTATCTATCTATCTATCTATCTATCTATCTATCTATCTATCTATCTATCTATCCCAGTATGTTCTTATCTATGTATTTGTGATAGATAGATAGATAGATAGATAGATAGATAGATAGATAGATAGATAGATAGATAGCTCTTATTCTGTACATCTATATCCACTTGTCTACATTTTTCTTCTCAAGGGATCTATCTATCTATCTATCTATCTATCTATCTATCTATCTATCTATCTATCTATCTTCTGTTCATATCTATTTATTTATCTATCATCTGTTCCTATTTACCTATTCATTTCTTGTCTGTTTCTATCTATCTATCTATCTATCTATCTATCTATCTATCTATCTATCTATCTATCTATGTCATTTAATATGTATGCATCTATCTATCTATATGTGTAACTATGTCAATTAATATCTAACTATCGGTCTATTTACTAAAACAGCAAAAGATGTCTTTCAAATACAAAAAAAATATTAATGAGTGATTCATTCGTTTTCTATGGTCTATCAATCTGTTTCAGGTTATTCAAAGCCAGAAAATATTTATAGATTGTAATGTTTTCTTGGGAGGAGATAGTAATAATTTCGTGATACATGTATTACTATTTAACCTAAAGCTGGGGCGAGTTGAGGTGGATTTCTACTTTTCTCAAGGAAGTCAGTTGTGTATAAGCGAATATAATAGACCCAACTGAAATTCGAACTCGTCTTACCGATAAAGAAATCTAAGTCATTATCCACTGCAACCACTGCACATCCACGCTAACAGCCCCTGATTAACAGTTAATGTTTACATTCCTGATTGCTTTAATTTGTTGTCCATGCATGAACCAGTGTTTCAACATGATATGGCCTGTAAGTCAGCAAATTTTTATGAAACCGGAACATTTCCTTAGAACCAAAAAAGAGAGCGGTGAACTTTTATATAATAATTATCAATCTTATACGGCAGTGAATGCTGGACAATCAAAGATGAAGAAGAGACTTGAGGTAACAGAAACAAAGAAAAGGGTGCTGAACGGTTATATAATATCAGTCCTCCTATATGGCAGTGAATACTGGACAATCTCCTCACAGAGGAAGAAGAGACTTGAGGCAACAGAAACAAAAAGAAAAGGGTACTGAACGGTTATATAATATCAGTCCTTCTATAGGGCAGGGAATGCTGGATAATCTCCTCTCAGATGAAGAAGAGACTTGAGGCAACAGAAACAAAGAAAAAGGTGCTGAACGGATATATAATATCAGTCCTCCAATATGGCAGTGAATGAGGGGAAAATCTCCTCACAGATGAAGAAGAGACTTGAGGTAACAGAAACCAAGAAAAGGGTGATGAACGGTTATATAATATCAGTCCTTCTATAGGGCAGTGAATGCTGGATAATCTCCTCACAGATGAAGAAGAGACTTGAGGCAACAGAAACAAAGAAAAGGGTGCTGAACGATTATATAATGTCACTCCTTCTATAGGGCAGTGAATGCTGGACAATCTCCTCACAGATGAAGAAGAGACTTGAGGCAACAGAAACAAAGAAAAGGGTGCTGAACGGTTATATAATATCAGTCCTCCTATATGGCAGTGAATGCTGGACAATCTCCTCACAGATGAAGAAGAGACTTGAGGCAACAGAAACAAAGAAAAGGGTGCTGAACGGTTATATAATATCAGTCCTTCTATAGGGCAGTGAATGCTGGATAATCTCCTCACAGATGAAGAGACTTGAGGCAACAGAAACAAAGAAAAGGGTGCTGAACGATTATATAATGTCAGTCCTTCTATAGGGCAGTGAATGCTGGACAATCTCCTCAAAGATGAAGAAGAGACTTGAGGCAACAGAAACAAAGAAAAGGGTGCTGAACGATTATATAATGTCACTCCTTCTATAGGGCAGTGAATGCTGGACAATATCCTTACAGATAAAAAAAAGGTGAGTTAACAAATTTGGTTCTACAGAAGGATACTGGAATTTCCATGGATTGACCATGTGACCAGCTTGGACGTTTATTGGCAAAAGGCAAACAAAAAGACAATTGTAGTTAGAATCAGGTATAATATTGTATTTCAAAGAGAATTTTAAATTTGTTGTTTATATTTGTTGTATTCAATGGCGAACCAGTTCGAATTGGAAAGAAGCAGTTAAGATTTCCTGGGCACATAATGAGGAAAAGAGGGCGGGAGAATTTGACACTCACAAGAACTATTGAATATGATATTGAATATAAGGAACAACTTACAAGTGGCTTGTGCGAATGGATGGCAGAACAGGGCGCGGAAATTATAGCCAAAATATAAAGGATAAGAAGTTGGGGGAAACCTGTGAACGTTCACGTCCTGAATGGACACGGCACATAGAATAATAATAATGGAGTTTCAAATGGTTGTAGAGATGCAACTACAGCCCAATACACCGACTGAAACTGCAAAATACTTTTAAAAAGACAGCAAAGACGAATGCAGCCGACCAGATACAGAAGCGATGGCAAGATAAACCGCTTCATGGCCAATACCCTGCCCGTACCAAACAAGCTGACGTACACAAAACCCGTACCCATCAGTGGCTATGTAGTGCAGGATTGAAAGCTAAAACTGAAGGTTTCATCCTATGCTGCACAGGACCAATGCTTGCTAACTAGGAATTATCAAACACATATACTAAAATATTGTGTTAGCTCAAAATGCAGATTCTGTGATAAATATCCAGAAACGATTGATCATCTTGTATCAGGTTGTACGGTGTTGGCACCCACTGAATATAAAACCCGACATGACAGAGTGGGCCAATATCTGCACTGGAAAATCTGCAACTTCTACGGGAAGAATACTGAAAGAAAATGGTATGAACACCACCCAGACCCGGTTACGGAGATAGAACCTGTTACAATTCTATGAGACTTCACAATACACACTGACAGAACAATCAAAGCCAACCGCCCAGATATTGTTATTAAAGACCACAAACAAAAAAGTTTCTCCTTTTTGATATGGCTGACTGCAATGTATCTTTGAAGATATTCAAAAAGCTGTCAAAATACAAGGACCTTGAAACAGAAATCTCGAAAATGTGGCATATGGGAACATCAGCAGTCCATGTTGTAGTTGGAGCCCTAGCACTGGTTGGGAAAGATTGCAGTAGACTAATTGAAGGAATTCCTGGAGGCCCCTGCCTCAAGGAGATACAAAAAATTGTTCTGACAAGTACAGCCCACACTTTACGAAGGGCTTTATCGATGTAATTTTTTTATTTATTTATTTATAATTTTTTTTTGTTCAGTGGAAAGTGTCATGATGCCATTTCTAAACTTAGGTCCCTGGGCGGGACCCGGAAAGAAATGTGTAAACGCCAGGAATCAAATAATAATAATAATAATAATAATAATAATAATAATAATAATAATAATTCTTTAACACACTCCGTAATCCTTTAGAATGATTTATTTACACCTGTCGTTGATCTCAAGCTCAATGCAACATCGCTTCTATGAACAGGTAAGCATTACTTTTAGAAAATTATTAAATTTACTAACAGACTTTGAAAAAAAAACATCTCCAGGACAAATATTGAATTTTAAAGTGAATTTTTTAAAAATTTGTTCTTACAATATTTCATATAAAATGGCGACCCGCTGAGTCAATGAGTGATCCACCACACCATCATAATAAATGTACCAAAGTTTTAAAAATACCTAAATAGTTAAACTACGGAAATTAATTTTTCTTTGAATTTGGATTAGCTTTAGGTCATTATCTTTAACCGAAATTTAAATTCAAAGAAGGCGTTTAAATTATTTAAAATGTGTTTTTCCGTTTTCTACGCGGGGTGATTATGCCGAATGAAGAGCTTAAGGAATTAATGTTTAAATAAAAAGAAATTCCTTAATAAGCATAAACCCCTAAAATTTTTGTGTCAGTTACTCATCCCCACTTTTCATAATTTTAACAACTACATATGTTTTAATTGTAAAATTTAGATCGATTACTTGAAAATTTTCGGGAATTTTGACATTATTCTGAGGATCTTTTAGTCGTTCACATCCGTGCATTTATTTTTTTTATTCATACTAAGTCTCGAAAAAAAAAAAAAAAAAAACACTATATAAAACTTACTAATTTTTTTTATATCCATAATGTTGCATGTGTTAAAATTATTCAAAATTTTTAACATGGAAAAACTCAAGTTCATGTTAAAAACGGCCGCATTATTCAATCTCCTCTATTCCTTGCATTGGTTCTAAAATAAGCAGCTCGTTCTAAAAAGATACATTTTGAACAAATATGGTATTATTATTTTTTTTTCTTTGATAGCAATGGACAGAATGAAACAAAAAAAAGAAGAAAAATAGATAGATAGATAAAGAACATAGATAGATATATAGATAGATAGATAATGAACATAGGTAGATAGATAAGTAGTGAACAGAGATAGATAGATAGATAGATAGATAGATAGATAGATAGATAGATAGATAGTGATGAAAGATAAATAGATATATAGATAGACATACAGACAGATAATGAACATAGATAGATAGATAATGAATATACATAGATAGATAAGTAGTGAACATAGATAGATAGATAGATAGATAGATAGATAGATAGATAGATAGATAGATAATGAACTTAAATAGATAAATAGATAATGAACATAGATAGATAGATAGATAGATAGATAGATAGATAGATAGATAGATAGATAGATAGATAAGTAGTGAATATAGATAGATAGATAGATAGATAGATAATGAACATAGATAGATAGATAGATAGATAGATAGATAGATAGATAGATAGATAGATAAGTAGTGGATAGAGATAGATAGATAGTGAAGAAAGATACATGGATATTGTTGTGTATGATACACCTAATTTACATAAGCGGACTACCGACCATATAAATATGGGTTGGTACCGGAAGACGGGGAAGATAGTAGAGATTAAGAAATTGAATCCAGAGACTCTGCCCGACTGCGATTTAGTCAACCCATTATGCAGGAACAGTCTTCCCAAGAATATACCAAACTAACTGTAAATATTGTGTACCTATTCTTTGTTTCAATACATTTTGTTAACGTACATTTTGTGTTGTATTATTCCATGCTTATTTAAGCTTCAACAGATATATAGACAAACAGACAGATAATGAACATAGATAGATAATGAACATACATAGATAAGTAGTGAACATAGATAGATAGATAGATAGATAGATAGATAATGAACATAGATAGATAGATAGATAGATAGATAGATAGATAGATAGATAGATAGATAGATAGATTGATTTACTTAAGCTGGAATAATCTATTACGCCATGTCTCTCATTTGTATTTAGATACATTTGTATTTATTTTCTAGTTGAATTGTTCACCTACACTGAATATTTTGAGAATAATTATATTATAATAAAATTTCTAATTTAAAATGAATACTACCTTATGAAAATTGAGATTTAGTAGAGTGTCTGGCTCCGTATCATATATTTCCTGGGGCCGTACGGGACTCTAAGACCGGCCTGCAAGAAAGGCAACACCAACTTTTTACATACATAGATAAGATTATAGATAATTCTTTAACATACTTTATAATCCTTTCAAAATCAAATTTGGAACGATTGGCTTACAACTTAGCCGTGTCCCCACGCACTGTCCAACAACAAGCAAACATTGTGATTCGAGAATGAAAGAAATCCAAAGAATGTATCCGGTTTAGTCGATACAAATAACACCTCGAATCCGTTCTAAAATAAGCAGCTCGTTCTAAAAAAAGACACATTTTGTACAAATATGGTATTGTTATTTTTTTTCTTTGATCACAAAGGACAGAAAGAAACAAAAAAAGAAAAAAAAAACACTCTGACTTGAAACTAGTTCTCTTGGAATTACATTGTTATATATTAAAGCTTCGGGGTAATTTCTAAAGATGGCATCTTGTCTCCGATGTACAAATGAAAGTACAACATGACCTTAGGCAGGGTTTTCTATTCTTATGAACGTTGTCTTCTTATCTGAGACTCTCCATTTACAAGCAGTTTCATTGCATTTTTTGAGTTGTTGCAAAATTCTGACAATTATGAAAGAAAAAAAAACGTCATTTAGACTGCATTTCACTCAATTTTAATCGTAAACTATTCATAGAGATCACCATTTGAAATAGACGAATAGTTGATTTTAATATTTTCTGTAGAACTTCTGATGTGCCAAACGCGTTAGTCGTTTTACGATATAAATTTAGAGCATTTGTTAGTTTGCTTGAAGGGGATAGATAGATAGATAGATAGATAGATAGATAGATAGATAGATAGATAGATAGATAATGAACAAAATGTGATAGATAGATAGATAATGAACATAGATAGATAGATAGATAGATAGATAGATAGATAGATAGATAGATAATGAACAAAATGTGATAGATAGATAGATAGATAGATAGATAGATAGATAGATAGATAGATAGATAATGAACATAGATAGATAGATAGATAGATAGATAGATAGATAGATAATGATCATAGATAGATAGATAGATAATGAACAAAATGTGATAGATAGATAGATAATGAACATAGATAGATAGATAGATAGATAGATAGATAGATAATGATCATAGATAGATAGATAGATAGATAGATAGATAGATAATGATCATAGATAGATAGATAGATAATGAACAAAATGTGATAGATAGATAGATAGATAATGAACATAGATTGATAGATAGATAGATAATGAACAAAATGTGATAGATAGATAGATAGATAGATAGATAGATAGATAGATAATGAACAAAATGTGATAGATAGATAGATAGATAGATAGATAGATAGATAGATAGATAATGAACATAGATAGATAGATAGATAGATAGATAGATAGATAGATAGATAGATAGATAGATAGTGTTAAGGGGTCCGACCCTTTTTATACAAGTGGACTCGTCTAGTGTGTACTTGTACTGCTGCCGGTAAATACCCGGATGGGTGACAGTGATACAATGAACAGTGAGAGAGTAAGAGTATGAGGTAACAGCTTTGTAGGAGTCACAGTTGCGAGCACTTAGACCCAGAAGGAAGTCATACTTCGATACTGAATTTTCATAGTCTGTATATATATATATATATATATATATATATATATATATATATATATATTGCTACTAACCGCATTTATGGATCTACTAACCGTATTACCTTACCAATTGTATTATGACGTCAATACATTTATTTGCTATATTTCTTTTCTGCGTTTGTCATTCATTTTGAGACCGGATTTCATCCCGGAATCCACAACAATAGCGAGGAAAGTGAACCTGGAGAATCTGATAGTCAGGAGGCGAATAGAAAGAAAGAAAGACAAGGGAAAGCATTGCGTGATATACCTGGCGGGCTTGGGCAGGTGGATGACAGAACGTGGTCTGTGGGGAGGAAACAGAGGGAAGGAGGTTGCTGAGAGCCTGCAAGGGATATGGAGAAGGTGGAGAGCCATGATCGCCTACGTTCTGAAAGGACATGGCACATAAAAAAAAAAAAAGTTGAATTGAGGGATTGATAAGTGTTACAGACAAAAACAGGATGACGGGTTTGAACAGAAGAAGACGGAGTTCAATTTTTGGAAAGTTGGAATCCAGACCCCCCGCAGTATAAGCCTTCTACTATTTTGCAACGTCTCAAAGACCCCGTCGTTGTTCACACGCTCAGTTCATGATATCCTTAGCATCCTTCTGTAGAACCACATCTCCGTCGCCTCGAGTCTTTTCTTTATCCTTGAGGAAATCGCCCAACATTCGCTGCCGTAAAGAAGGACAGATGTCACGAAACAGATCAGTATTTTTTTTTTTTTGTTACCAAAGAAATCCTCCTGTTTCGCAATACTCTGCCCATCATTTGAAATGTTTCCTTGAGGCGCTCCAAATCCCGGGTAACTCACATATTATAACAAAACACGACAGACAGACAGACAGATAGATAGACAGATAGATAGATAGAGAGAGAGAGAGAGAGAGGGGGGGAATACACGCCTTTGTGATGTGCAAAGAAGCTTTACAAACCTACGATAAGAAATTCTTGTTCTTCATTAGATCACTAGATAAAAATAAAAAGAAAATATTCGAATTTCTCATATGCGTAAGAGGCTTTGATATTGTAATTGTCCAATGTTTTTTGCGACTCTTCGTTTTGCTACGCCTTGGACTTAAGACCTTTCATTTTGCTGCGCTTCTGGCTTGTGTCCATTCATTTGGCAACGCCTCGTCTTCTTGCCCGTTCATTTTGCTGCGAATCGGGCTTGTGTCCATTCATTTGGCAACGCCACGTCTTTGTGTCCGTTCATTTTGCTTCGAATCGGGTTTGTGTCCATTCATTTGGCAACGCCTCGTTTTAGAGCCCGTTCATTTTGCTGCTCTTAGGATTTGAGAATTCATTTTGCTATATCCTGAATTTCCGACTGTTCATTTTCCTACACGTCGGATTTATGCCAGCTCATTTTGATACGTTTCGAGTTGTGTCCATTCATTTTGCTATATTTCGCATTTACGACTGTTCATTTTGTTATAGCTCGAAATTGCAACTGTTTATTTTGAAACATCTCGGATTTACGACATTTTTTTTTTTTTTTTTTTTTTGCTACACGTCGGATTTATATCCGTTCATTTTGATACGTTTCGGGTTTGTTTCCGTTTATTTTACTATAGCTCGGATTTACAACACTTGATTTTGTTGAAGAAAGATTATCCAGAGCAGTAACTGTAGTACCCAGGAAATAGAGAAACTATGTACACAAAACAACCTTTACAAATAATAAATATGCAAACAGCACAGTTTTTTCTAAACATATCTGGGAAATTAAAAACAAAAAAAATATCATGGAAAATAAAGTAAAGAACATCAGCCTACAACAATAAATCCCAAAACTGTCAACTCTACCTGGAGGAAAATTAGCTATAATCACCTTCCCAGAAACATTAATAAATACAGTGTAACCCGGATATAAGAGAGTGGACGGGACCGGAGAAGGAGTCTCTTATATCCGGGTTTCTCTTATATCCGGGTTTGGTCTATTATATATACATTAACACAGGCTCTAATTTGGGACCCGAGTAAATCTCTCTTATATCCGGGTTTATCTTATATCTGGGTCTCTTATATCCGGGTTTCTCTTATATCCGGGTCTCTTATATCCGGGTTACACTGTACAACTTTCTACTGTGTGATGAAATCATATAAATTCATACAATTTCATTCATAATATTTAATTGAAGCCATAAAATTGTGTTAAAAGTACTTAGATTTTAGCATTAAAAAACTCTTAGAGGTGTTGATATGCCAATAAACGATTTCAACTAGATGAGAGAAACCACATTACTTGGCGTCTTTCAACACCAGAAATAACTTAAAATGAACAGCGCATGTAACTCGATGTTGATGTTCCACACTATTTCAAACAAAAGGTTAGGAAGGAAACCCCTCACAAGTACTGGAAAGAGCACTAGCAGTTACTGAACTTGTGAAATCCATTATCCTGAAAATTTGTTTTAAAGTTTTTTATAAATTTCATCTGAAAGTTACACTAATTGTTCAGTTAAGGAACCCCAAATGTTTCCTTATAAGGAAATGACCAATATGTCCATTACCAGTTCGCAGTTAAGAATTGAGATTTGACTTCACTTGAGGCAGGTTGCACTATCAAAGTTAAAGGTCCTAGTATGTCCTATTTTATCCATAATTAAAAAAGAAGAGTTGAATTTTTGCCTTCTCCTAAGATATTGCTAAACAAACGATCAAATGTGATCTTGAAATGCAAACAAGAAAACAAATTTGTGTTCCGTTGTTTATGCAAATATATACACTATATAAAACACAGATAATATAACATACGTTAGATAAAGTGAATAACTTTGATTAAACAAGAAAAGATTAGCAACTTTCGAGAAAAATAAAATAAACAAAAAATATTAAATGAATTAACAGATTAAGTAAATAATAAACAAATTAACAAACAAATTTTCAAAGATGAAACTTTCTTGCATCTTTCCAATCTTCTGGCCTTCATGGGTCGTGCCAGCAATTTTCTTGGTTGTCTTGTGTAAGATTTTAGATTTAACTCATCTTTCACTGCTGTTCTGATAGTCTTAGCATCCACCATAAATTGCTAATTTTCTCACGGATTTCATTGGATCTTTTGAGATTTTGAATTTGAAAGTGTTGATGAAATAATTATTGCGTTTTTTTGTCGATTCCGCCACTTCCATTCTTTCTCTGAATAGTTTCCCTCATAGCCATTCTCTTTTTCACATTAAGAACTTGTCCGTGGGGATACTCCAACTACGCTTGCAATCTTCTATGGATGAACATGTGTGTTTATCTTATCACACACCCTTTGATGCTTGCTTTCTTCAGCACTCATCTTTTACACAATTATCCGAGAAAAAAAAAATGTGGGTAATTATTATGCAAGCTTATGATAATAAAATGGACCTGGTTTCATGAGAAAAACAAGTAAAACTTTTAGTGCAAATTTTGCCTCCCTACTTTGTATATGAGACGCTCATAATTATTCTTGAGGGAAACTGAAAAGTCAAGCTAAATTATGGAAGATGCTAAGTGACGTAATTTAACTTCTACAGAACGAAAGTGAATAAATGATGTTGTTGATTATTTTTTATGCAATTAATGATTAAATTATTTTGTATGGGATACGTTTAGTTATTATATATATTTTTAGATAACAGGAGGTTATAGAATTAATCGTTCTCTTTTAAGTTTTTAACATTATATAACCATGTATGTTGGCTTGGAACAGAATTCATTCAGAAGCTGAGATAAATAGAAAAAAGCCGCACAGATTTATAACATTATGATATTTGATATCAGCACTCTCGAAGATATTCCATCTCAATAAGTTATTTTTTCTCTTTTAATATCTGCAGCCTTATTAAAATAAAATCTTTCGTTTTGTCCTAACACACACAAATATATATATATATATATATATATATATATATATATATATATATATATATATACACGTTTCATTAAATAATATAGACAAGTGTTGTCTATTTATTTTATGAAAATTTTTTCGTAACGTCTGATAAGTTTACTAACATTATTGTTGAACGAAGAAAGAAATTCACAATATTGATCCATATTTTTTTTAATACTATCTAAGTTTTCGGCTTACATAAGCCATTATCAAAGATGTCAATTACAACATATTAAACAATATACGGACAAGACAGTGATGATAGTCTGTTAATGTTTACATAGATGATTTCTAAGCAACGATAAACACGTGCATATAAGACGCTAGAAGCGAAAATCACACCGCATCTCATGACGTCACACATGAACACACGAGAGTGAATTGGAGAAGTATGAAGTATGGAAAACCGTTGGTATAAACCAATGGCTTCTGTTACCAATTATAGACATTTAAGAGTATTTGTAGAGATGCCATTATATATATATATATATATATATATATATATATATATATATATATATATATATCATCCCCATACAGACCGTTTCGCAGCTCAGCAGTGATCGAAAACCGACTGATTCGGCAACAGGCGGAGATTTTCCTCCTAAGACATCGGCGTACGGTTGAAAGAATGGCCAATTTTTACGTACGTACTCTGTGAATAAACATGCCAATGACTCACAGTGCTCAATGCAGGGAGGGAGAAGAGCCTTGTAATATTAGTAGTAATGTAGTAATTGTGTTGTTTACAAATTCGCACTTATCTTCCAAGAGTGCACAACCGAATTTAAGTTTTTCGGGACCGTATATATTGTCATCCACTTGTCATATATATATATATATATATATATATATATATATATATATATTAAGAAATGGACAAAGTTTTAACGTCCTTTTTATAGATACAAGTATTTAAGTAAATGCTCTATTTATAATAAACCGGTCTGAATGTCCGAGAAATTTTCATAGAAAATATTCGTCCTTTGACAGGATTCGAACCTGCATCCTATACGAAACCGTCATTTAAGCTGACGTGCCTTACCGTCTCGGCCACAAAGGAGCGTTCGGTAGGCAAGGTCGAATTTACTGCTTATAAACTTCGAATTTACTGCTTATAAACTTATAAACTTTGTTTATATCGGGAGATCAATTGAATCCCCTATCTTGGTTTCAACCTGACAGCACACGGAATATACCGTAAGCTTGATTCTAAGGTAGAGGATTCAACTGATCTCCTGATTTTTAAAGTTAAAAGGTCTACATGTTAATAGTATTTTACACGTTTATTGAGCATTTTTAATATCACTGTTTTCTGGTCTGATTCAACCTTTTATGTATTATATATATATATATATATATATATATATATATATATATATATATGTGTGTGTGTGTGTGTGTGTGTGTGTGTGTGTGTGTGTGTTAAAATTATATTCTGTTTATACGTTATTATGAGAGATAGGAGGCACGGCAGAGTAATGGCAGCGGCTTGGATTGAGGAATTGGAGAGCCGATTTCGAATTGCACTCGAATCCATTATATTCACTTACGTGCCAATACCCTTGGGTAAGGTGTGAACACTCTTCTTCTCCCTCCAGCTATGGGTAAATAGCAGGGCAGACTGGGTTCTATAGCCTCGGATGGCAACTGGTCTAGGAGAAGAAAAACTCTGCATTCAAAACCTGTTTGGGGACCTTGTGGCACTTAGTGCACCAATTCTCTGTATTCGGACCTTCAAAAAGTGTGGATGGTCTTGCACGAAACCTTCACCACTATAATCAAATCTCATGTGCTGTTGTCGGGCTATCGGTTTTCCTTGAAACTTATCTGCTTTGACCCTCATACGTCGAATTCGACGGGAGAGTGGAATATATATATATATATATATATATATATATATATATATATATATATAATAGAATTACATTATAATAGGTTAATGATCATATTCACCTTGTAAATTCAAACAAAATTTACAATTTTTTTTTAAACCAGTCAATGTATGATAAATTATTGAAATAAACCTGGCCAAACAGAAGAAGGAAAGAAAGAAGGGAAATAAAATGGAAAAAAAAAAAGAGATCAAATAAAAAAAAGGTAGTAGTGTAAGTCTGGATATGAGGAGTGGTTAGAGGAGAAAGGAAGAGAAAATAAGAAGGAGGAAAAAGAGAGAAGCAATGACCTATTAATGACAGAAGATGAAAATGATCATTAACGTAATATAATCTTAATTACTATTGTATAAAAAAATATGTTGCTCTGTTTAATAAAAACATTGAGCTCTATGTGTGAATTACTTTTAATATTTAATGTTTTATATTATATTAATAGGATTCACTTGGATTACATACCAATGGTTTATTACTATATATATATATATATATATATATATATATATATATATATATATATATATATATATATATATATATATATATATCCGTATAGGATGCAGGTTCGAATCCTGTCAAAGGACGAATATTTTCTATGAAAATTTCTCGGACATTCAGGCCGGTAAATATTATTTAATACTGTTTATTATAAACAGAGCATTTACTTAAATACTTGTATCTATAAAAAGAACGTAAAACATCAAAATGTCTTTAATATATATATATATATATATATATATATATATATATATATATAACAATGACACTAGTCAGTTTCATAGCTTTGACAATGATGTGTAGGTAATCGGTCATATATATATTTGAACGTATATATCTATATCTATCTATCTATCTATCTATCTATCTATATATATATATATATATATATATATATATATATATTAACGAAAATTTCTCGGATATTGAAGCCGGTAAATGTTATTAATACTGTTTATTATAAACAGAACATTTACTTAAATATTTGTATCTATCATAATAACGTATAAACAGAAGATAATTTAAAATACATACATACATAAATACACACACACACACACATATATATATGTATATATATATCGACGTACATATATATATATATATATATGTGTGTGTGTGTGTGAGTGTGTGTGTGTGTCTAAAGTCAAAATAGTTTCTTCACAAACTTTTTTATTAAAGAAAACTTTCACCTTTTAGATTATACATTATTTGGACTCAGGAACCGGGCTGATTTTATCATTTGCAAACTTATTTTTTACAGAAAGCCGATGTCCCCTAGATTATGTGACCCTAGACTGTGATGCGTTCAGACTGTAAATGTAAATTCGGGACTGTGCCGGTGCGTATCATTACTACTGTACTACTACTGTACTGATGCGGCATTCAGCCTGGGCGGATTGAGCCGGCTTCTTCCTGTTATGAGAAGAAGATTCTTGGGATAAATTACAGAAGTAGGGTACCCAGGCCTACTCGGATAACGTTCTTGCTTGCCGCGGGGTTCCCACAGACGCAGAGACAGGAACGACCAGAAGCCTTGGATTTTCACCAGAGCCCTTGTTAGCCGGTGTGTGTGTCAGACCTGTCCGCCTTGGGTGGCCCTACCAGGAACGAAGTTCTGGGAGGCATAGCTCTGACACTACCGTTTACACCCCCCACCGACTGTGAGGTAAGGGTTGAACTTTGGGGGCTTACAGTACCAGGTGTTCCCAAGCGGTCCCCCATCTAAGTACTGACCTGGCTCTACGATGCTTCATGACGGAAATCTCTGAGTCTGATACACATGGCTCCTAATTTCAATTGTTCAGCTTAATCTGTTAGAATATCCATATCGATGTCTTTTTTTTTTACATCGTAAATTCCGCCGTATAACAATCGAGTTTTCAAGCATTAAAAAAAAATATATTGCTAAAACTAAGGCTAAACTTACCGGTATAAAATGCAAACCTGTAACACCGAGTTGTAAACAAGTGAAACAGCATCCCTAACAATTTCTAACTGAACCCCCAGCAGATTACCACAAATATATCGCACTAAAACTTTGAGGAGAATACACGGCATGTTAACACAGAAATTAATATATAAAATAAGAAAATCAATCAGTTATGTGCCATGCGTGATACACGCTTAGACGATCATGTATCTTTCGATACATGACTGACGTGGTGGATTTTTTTCCCGCAGTAGATTGCCATTTCTTTCTGCGGTAGACCAGTTGCCATCCAAGGTTATAGAACCCGGACTGTCCTGCTATTTACCCATAGCTGACGGGAGAAGAAGAGGATTCATACTTTTTCCAAGGGTATTGACATCTCAGTCAGTCAATTATGTTTCATGCGTGATACGCGCTTAGGCGATCATGTATCATTCGATAGAAGACTGAAGAGGCTGGGGGGGGTGGGAAAGCAGAGAATTCATATCTTTCCCAAGGGTATTAGCACGTAATGGATTCGACTGGAATTCGAACTCGGCTCTCTGATTCATCAATCCAAGCCGTTGCCATTACTCTGCCGTGCCTCCTATCTCTCATAATAACGTATAAACAGAATATAATTTAAGATACGCACACACACACACACATATAACCGCTATCCATTACCATGCCCCCTAATAATAAAATAGTAACACAATTTCAGTATTCTATTGACCATACGGCACCCATCGCGTCCAACTTCTGACACATATAGTGGCGGCATCACTTGTTGTTTCGTTACACCATTGTTGCAAATGGCGGATGAGTGATATTGTGTTTTACAATCGCATATGATACGTAGCAGTTCTATCAAAAAACTACCTGGTATGATGTGTAATCTATAGTATTTATATTTTAAAGGAGTTGATGTCGACTGTAATGTCGTTATCAGTAGACTTTATTTTGTGCTGTCAACGAATACTCGTTGTCACTTTTGTAATGTGAACGAATACTTGATCGCTTTCGTAATGCTCGTCGTAGTAGAGACTTTGTAATCGCAGATACAACTATAGTAACGCCGTTGAACAATACTAGTGCCAGACGCATTCGAATATCACCCGCACTAATAGTACTTGCTCAATAATACTCGCTCGAATAGTAACCGCCGAATAGTGATCCGAATAGAGAAATAGTATATTGAATAGAGAAGAGAAAATCTACCATCCGTCCCTCCATTGAATATTGCTGCCATTTCTGGTCTGGTGTTCCTGATTTTTGTGATGTCAACAAACACTCGTTGCCACTTTTGTAATGTCAACGAATACTTGTTGTCACTTTCGTAATGCTCGTTGTAGTAGAGACTTTGTAATCGCAGACACATTTATAGTAACGCCGTTGAACAATACTGGTGTTAGACGCCTTTGAATAACATTCGCACTAATCATTCTTTCTCGATAATACTCGCTCAAATAGTAACCATCGAATAGTGAGCCGTCTCGTGATGATATTCCTTAACCGCTCCACACGATTGGACGTAGCACAAGGCCGAATTTATTGTAGGGTATCCGAGCCCGTAGGCTAGGGCAAAAATTCCCCATAGACCCCGTAAAAACGGTGTCGGGTAGATGTCTACCACCCGAAACGAGACTCTGCTCTTCGGCATAGCCTCGTCTGGGTTCCTCTCTACACAGAGGCAGAGAGTTTGACAAGCACATTTCCGAAGTAATCCGTAGATGCACGCTTATTACCATATATACATTTCGTTTACCATCACGTGATCTACTTATTCAAAATGGGATCGTCTGTGTTTGCGCTCTGCTGATCAGTGTTCAAACCCCAGTGTCGACAGCGACACTTTATTCCTATATAACACCTGACGAATTGTAAATGTTTGTTAAGTTTTATGATACAATAGATGGTACCTCACGGAGTGTGTTTTGGAGTGTTTGCTATAGAACGCCTATAAAAAGATATTACGGTTAGTGCCTTAATATGCAGTTAAGTGGTATGTCCTGAAGTAGTTTTGCCACAGGTTATCGGAAACTGTAGCCGAAGTTCATTTACGGCAGGCCCAAGTTTCGACCCCCTGGCAGCATACAGTATATTTTGGAGTCGACCTATTGAGTAGGTATAGCCCTTAGTCAGTATGTTAAATAATTTACGGTAATTTTCTTAGGGAATTTTGCAAAAACAGTTACGAAAAAAAAATAATTATATATGTAGAACGTTTACAAGAAATCTGAAGTGGGGGTTGAGATGGCGAAAGAAATACGAAAATTGCGTTACAAACAACGAAAAAAAAGTTCTTAATTACTTTGGGATATAAATAATTCTTTATAAGACTATTTTCGACTTTATAAGATGTTGTAGCACACCCACGGACGATGATGGGTATGTCTTAATTAACATAAATACGGTAGTAAATACTGTATGTTGATCAGCAGTTGGAGATTCGTCTCCAGCTGTGCTGATCAAACTTTCTGCCTCCGGACAGAGAAGATCCCCAGACGAGTCTATGTCGAAGGGCAGAGTCTTGTCTCGAGGAAACAGCTACCTGACCCCGTTTTATAAGGAGTCTACGGTTATTTTTTTGCTTAACCTACGGGCTCGGATATCCCACATTAAATTCGGCCTTATGCTACATCTGACCGCGTGGGGCGGTTGTTAGATATCCTGCAGTTGGAAATTCATTGTGGAATTCAATTGACTCATTTCTGGCAGTTGACTAATTCTTCTACGCGCCGCTGGCGAATCTTATATGTGTTGTTCTTGTCCTAAGTATTATCGTTCATTACCAAACTTTGTGTGATTATTCTATTCAGTAATCTTCCCTAGGTTTAAAACATAAGCAAATTCCTTTCAAAGGAATGAGACTTCAGCCAAGAGAAACATATTTCCACAGAAGAAAATTTGAATAACAAACATGGACATAACGTGAGCGAAATTTGGACTTCTACAGGGTGCGAACTGCATCAGTTGATACACATTTTTGTTCGTGTGGACTAAGCACTCTTTGTGGTGGATATTGAAGTCGCCGCAGATATGAATGCTAGCCGAGATAAATTCAGTGATATTTACCTGGCACATGTCAGTGGGTGTCACCCAGACGAGGCTATGCCGAAGGGCAGAGTCTCGTCTCGGGAAACTGACTCCGTTTTTACGTGGTCTATAGAGAAGTTTTGCCCGAGCCAACGGGATCGGATACCCAACTTCAAAACTCGGCCTTGTGCCACATCTTGCTGCGTAGGGGCAGCAGGTAAATAATTACTCTCAATCCTTTCGGATATTCGATCAAAAATCAGTGAACCTTCATTTTGAGATGAATGGAGAGCAACGACAAATGTGGTATTGTAGGTAAGTTCCACGCGGAAGGACATATACGGGAAATCAGGGTCTTCGTTTTTTTGTGTCTCCCTGCCACAGGGAAACCCGTTCTTGATGTAGACTCTGGGTCCGTGATTGTGGCGATTTAGGTGGTCGTGCTTTTTTTTATAATAGGCGTGTAGCCCGAGATTTTAAGCTCCTGGTGTTGCAATGAGGCATTGATACCTGCTGCAGACAGGAACAGAAGGTCGGGTTTTGGACTGAAGATGATGGAGTACCACTTCTGGAACGTTTGAATGTAGACCCTTCACATTGGTGTAAAGGATGGTATACCTGAGATCTACTTTTTTAGGTTGGGTTTGCTAGAATTATTCATTTTCAATTTAATCGATTTCATCTTTGTAAAAGGTATATACATCAGAAAGACCTGTATTCCTCCCGTCTGTCTCTTTTTTATCTATCTATCTATCTATCTATCTATCTATCTATCTATCTATCTATCTATAAGCCCAGTCTATCTATCTCAGTTTGTTCTTATCTGTCTATGTCAGTTAATATATATCACTGTTGTTATATATATATATATATATATATATATGGCAGCTAATAACTATCTATTGCAGTTTTTCATATATCTCTCTGTCAGATTATTCTTAACTATCGATGCCAGTTGATATCTATGTATCTGTCTATCTCGATTTGTTCTTAGCTATCAATATATACCAGTTAATATCTATCTATCTATCTATCTATCTCAGTTTGTTTTTATCTATGTCACTTAAAATATATCACTGTTTATATATATATATATATATATATATATATATATATATATATATAGGTTGGTGTATGTGTATTTATTGTTGGTTTTTTTTTTTTTTTTTTTTTTTTTTTTTGTATAAATATATATATATGTGTGGGGTGTGTATGTGTATATATATGTGAGTGTGTGTGTATATATGTATATATATTTAGGTTTGTTAAGAGAAGAGGTTAATAATTGTTACGCTATATATGTATGTGTGCCTATATATATATGTGTATATGGGTGTGTGTGTATATATATGTATGTATATATATAAATATATATATATATGTATGTGTATATATATATATATATAAGTGTGTGTGTGTGTGGTTGTATATATGTATATATGTATGCATATATATATGTATGTATGTGTGTATATGTATGTTTGTGTGTGTGTGTGTGTATATGTATAAATATACATATGTATATGTATGATAAAATCATCTATTGTATAATGGTTGGCCAGCATGGTTCATATTGGTGCATGAATTAGTTCCTCACTGTGCCTCCCAGATTATTTGTTATATATATATGTCTGTGTGTGTGTATGTATGTATATATATATATATATATATATGTGTGTGTGCATATATATATATATATATCTGTATGTCCTATTTTATTGGGTATGTATATCTATATTTAAGTATATTTCTGTTTGTATATATATTTGTATGTTAGACTATATGTATATTGGTGTGTGTTGGTTTTTTGAAGGTATATTTATGTATCTATATGTTAGTACGTTTATGTATGTATTAGGTTGAGTGTTGTTGTATTTTTATGTATGCATGTGTATATGGTTAGTTGTTATTGTAGATAGATATTTTTATATATATGTTTATTTGTAGATATGTATGTATGTGTGTATATATATTTATGTATGTTTATGTGTATATATATATATGTGTGTGTGTTGGCACCTATTATGTATGAGTTTGTTTGTGTGTATGTGGGGTATGGAAACTTTGGTATATCATGACTGTTTTTTTATATGTCATAAAAGTTTGTGTGTATATATGTGGGGTGTATTTAGGTTTATCTATATATCTCAGTTTGTTATCATAGATATGTATATGTCATTTCTGTATGTAAATATATATGTATATGTATGTATGAGTGTATATTTATATGTGTTAATTTGTTTTTGTTCCTGTATATATATATATATATATATATATATGGTTGTGTGTTTCTATTTTCCTTGCCTAATATATAATATATTATCAACTTATATGATTAATATATATTTTATTGATATTTATGGTTTTAGAATTTTCGTTTTAATATATTAAATAATATTATTTTTAACCATTTTTATCTTTGTATATTTGCTCCCTTAAGTTATAATTCAATAAGTGGTTAGCATTTATTTAAGTCTGAAATATTTATTGGTTGTGATTTCTCATTGTCTGTCATTGTCTGTGGATGTATGTATGTGTATCTATCGGTGTCTATGTGTATGTAGAGTGTATTCACTTCAATAAAGGGCTTACCACCTCCTTTTTTTTTTTTTTTTTTTCTTTTTTTTAGTGTATGTGTGTGTGTGTGTGTGTGTGTGTGTATCTAATTATGTCTGCTTATGTATATAATCTGATTGTGTTTTTGTTGTCTTGACGCGTGAGTTTAAGACCACATCCACAAACTTTAAAATAAAAACGGAAATGAAAGGGAAAGGGAAAATATATATATACATGTATTATTGACCGGATATATTGTACGTCCTTGTCGAACATAATTTCAATGAAGAAATGAATTGAATAAACATATATATTTTTCTTTTTCTCAATAATTTTGTAGTTTTTAAACTTAATAGTGATTAAATTTGGATTTTAAAATTACCAATTTTTTTTATTTTAATATTAAATTTTATCATATGATTTTATAATTATTAGTTAGTATAAATTATTTTTAATATTACACGTATTTAAAGATCTGAATAGCTATTATAGCAGGATTTCGTTGTCAAGCTTTTTGAATCTTTCTATACTTCGTTTTTGATTGGTTATTCTAGCTTTTTGTAATGTCTCCCCTAGTGTAGGATCGTTAATTAATCTGATTTTAAAACCATTTATTTTATTTTCATATCACTTGAGAAGACACAGAATAAACAAAATATTTTTGTATGATATAACATACTTATCTATATATATATATATAATATCTATTAATATCTATCTATCTATCTATCTATCTATCTATCTATCTGCACCGTTGTTCAAATTAATTGAAATAACCGCTTTAGTATTCTTTCTTTCACCATACGGTCAGTTTTAGACCCACTGGAGTGACAGGGTGTAATCGATTTCTATTTCTTACTCAGATTAGGTCATTTGCAGTTGTGCGCAGTAATATAAATCTATTTTCGGAATGTATGACTTTGAAAAATATTGCGTCATCTGCGATTGCATCAAATTTTTATCACGCCCAGACACTATTGTCTAGATTGTCGATTAGTTGTCCTACATCCACTTGGCTGCGATGGACGTTACTCAAAGAAAATTTACGAAAATTTTAACGCTTCACGAAAACAGAGGTAAGTGTTACCAGTGAGCCAATCAAAATACGAGATTGACCCGGAAACTCTCCTGATTTAAGTCCAAACTAGAATCTGTGGTCAATCAGTTCGTGGAATGGACATGTGCACTGGGACACGTTTCATTGGAGAAATAGGACAAAAAATAAATGATTACGGAATTATTCGTTTTGTTTCAATTAATTTACCCAAGGGTGTACCTCAGGTGATTATACGCTGACCCATTGGATAAATGCGTTGGCCGAAGTAATCCCAAAAGTTAATGACCCGAACAAAACCTAACCATAGCAGAGGTGAACAAAAACATAAAGACTTAAATTACTAAATAGAATGAACTGAAAATGAGATATCAAGAAAAGGCATGGTATGTGGAACTAGAACAGTCTACCCCTGCGGACTAAATAATGTATTCGATTAAAAATCATCTGAAGAAGGCAGTAGCGTACAATGGACGAAACGTGGTGAATATCGCAATAAAGATGAGAACACCAGTCGAAACCATGTAAAGAGTGTAAGTAGTTATAATGTCTCATTTCAGAAATATAGACAGGTCCTGATGAAGGCCGGAGTGCACAACGGCCGAAACGTCGTGAATATGACAATGAATATAAGGACGACGGTCCGAACGATCTAAATGATGACAATAGTTACAATACCGCATCTCAGAAATATAGACAGAACCAGAAGAGAGGAAATCCTGAAGAAGGCTCAAGCATACATCGGCCGAAATGTCGTTAATATCGCAATAAAGATTACGACACAGTCCGAACCATATAAATAGTGTAAATAATTACAATACCTCATCTTAGAAATCGAGACAGATCCCGAAGAATGCCGGAACGTAAAACTTGAAGACTTAAATTACTAAACAGAATGAACTAAAAATGAGATATCCAGAAAAGGCATGGTATGTGGAACTAGAACAGTCTACCCCTGTGGACTAAATAATGTATTCGATTAGAAATTCCACTATATATCTGAAAAAGGCAGTAGCGTATAACGGACGAAACGTGGTGAATATGACAATAAAAATGAGGACAACAGTCCGAACAATGTAAATAGTGTAAATAGTTACAATACCTCATCTCAGAAATATAGACATCCTGAAGAAGGCGGGTGCGTACAACGGCAGAAACATTATAAATATGGCCTAAAGATGTAGACGACGGTCCGAACCATGTAAAAAGTGTAAATAGTTACAATACAACATCTAAGAAATATAGACAAATTTAGAATAATTTTAAGACTGCAAGGACAGAAAGTCAGTGTTTTAACCTACGACTGAAAATGTAATACTTTTTTTCTTTTTATATGCCGTGTCCCTTCAGGACGTAGGCGATCATGACTCTCCACTTACCCCCTCCCTTGTAGCTCTCAATAAGATTTCTCCCTTTGCTATTTCCTCCATGCTATGTTCTGTCATCCTTAAGCCCGCTAGATATGTCACGCGTTGCTTTTCCTTGTCTATCTTTCCCTCTATTCGACCCGTGAGTATCAATTTCTCCAAGCCCTCCTTTCTTATTACGTGCGCCAGAAATTTCAGCTGCCTCTTCCTGAAGTTAAGTATAAGCTTCCTCCTTGTTTTGCATCGTCTCTAAGACCTCATTAGACATGGAGATGGATTAAACAATAACAAATAAAAACGCTTGATTCAATTGGTGAAGCTGCTTTCAATTGTCCATCTTTTCCTCTATCCGCCCTGTGAGTATCAGATTTTCCAATCTTTCCTTTCTTATTACGTGTCTCAGAAATTTCAGCTGCTTCTTCCTGATGTTAAGTATAAGCTTCCTCCTTGTCTTCATCCTCTCCAAGACCTCATCGTTGCTCAGACGCTCCGTCCATGATACAGGAATCGGTAGAGCGAAAGATATCTTCCAAAAGTTGAACACAGTAATATGAAACAGGAACATTGCATTCTAAACAATGACAAAAGTTTTGAATTGGTTTACAATATCAAACTTCCGATATGACAGCAAATTAACATTCATTAGCTTGATATTATCACACGGAAGTGATGTCGTTCTGAATTTCATCTTTGTTTTAGCTTCCCGGAGATGAATTAAACAATAACAAATATTATTTTTTTTAAATAAGGGAAAGGAGTATTTCAAAACGGAAAAAAAAAGTTTTCGTCTGACATGTTTCGTCCACTATGACTAAAGTCATATTTAAGTTGATGTGACTACTCATGAGCCTGAAATGTTTTTTGAGAACGCTGAGAATGTTAAATTTAATATTTTTAAATTTTAATACAGTAGGATTCCTCAAATCCGGAATCCCGCATATCCGGAATCCCGCATATCCGGAATCCCGCATATCCGGAATCCCGCATATCCGGACATGATTTTGATGTGTATATTTGAACTATTTAGGTTATAGGTAACTGATTTGAAATTTCTGTTTTTCGGGA